AGTGCAACGTGAACCAACAACCGATTGTGTCATGGGAATCGAACACCGATCAAAACCTCTTGCACTCTAGTGAGGCAGCGAATTCGATTTAAGGAAACTGTAAATACATGGGCTTTCGGTTTGATTTGATTCTCTAATATTTAACTACAAGCTTAAATCGGATTGGCTTTAGTAAATCAAATTTTGTTCATTAGTTTTTGTCAATTTTTCCAGTTCATGATTTTTGCATGATTTCTAATTCATTTTAAATTATTGTTAAGTTGTTAATAATTTGACAAAATAATCTGTTCTTCAACTCTGCAGTTTTATTTTCTAAACAGATAACTTGATCTCGAATTTATATACAAATTTACAACCTTATAATTATTCTAAATTATTTGTTGCTTACTCCGGTTCAATGGCGTCACATGAAAATAACGATGTGAATAACGAAAGCAACACTGTTGGTACCGGTGTACCAAATCTTGCAATGACCGTTGTTAACCCTATGGAGACCACGATTGACATTTCTCCCATTAACAGGATAATTGGAGGCGGGATTCCTCATCTTGGAGTGAACCCAACTTTGCCTTCAGCTGCGACCTTGGCAGTCCAGTTTGGCACAATACCTTTGTCAGTGCCTAGGGCTGCGGCTTCGGTACCTTTGCTATCGTTTTCGGCTCCATTTTCGATGAATCATGCAATTCGACCAGATAAGTTTGCTGGTACTGATTTTAAGACATGGCAGAATAAGACGGTTTTCTATCTCACTACGTTGGGCCTTGCACATTTCCTCACTGAGGATGCCCCTATCGTGGCTGAAAATGATACTATGTGCATAGGCGTGCAGTTTGGGACGCTTGGAAAAGTGCTGATTTTTTGTGCCGCAACTATATCTTGGATGGCCTACAGAATTCTCTGTATCACGTATATGTGGTAAAGAAGTCTGCTAAGGAGCTTTGGGAGTCCTTAGAAAAGAAATACAAGACTGAGGATACCGGATCTAAGAAATTCTTAGCCAATCGGTGTATGGACTTCGAAATGGTTGATTCACGTTCAGTGGTGAGCCAAGTACAGGAGTATCAAGTGCTTTTGCAAGAAATGCATGCTGAGAGTCTGACCATGTCAGAATCTCTACAGGTGGCTACTGCTATTCACAAGCTACCTCCTCAATGGAAAGCTTTCAAAAGCTATTTGCAGTATAAGAGGAAAGAGATGTCTTTCGAGAATTTAATTATCAAGGTGCGCATTGAGGAGGATAACAAATGGGCTGAACGTAAGTCAAAGAATTCTTACTCTGAGAAGGCTAATGTATTGGAGTACGGCCAAAGTTCTGGTTTCACTCCTTTAAAGCCAAACAGGGTAACAAAAATTGAAAAGATAAAAAACAGGCTACGAAAGGGTCTTAGTTGAAGCCTGCAGGTGGGGTAGGAAAGAAACCTAAGTTCTAGTTCAATGGAAAGTGCTTCAATTGTGCAAAGTTGGGAATCGATCAACAGACTGCCGTCAGCCTCGGAGGGATAATAAGCAGTGTCCTCAGGCTAATATGGTTGGAAATGAGAGAGATCATCTCTCAGAAGAAATGTCTGAGCTAAACCTCACGGCTGTGATTAGTGAGGTTAATCTGGTGGGGTCTAACCCAAATGAGTGGTGGCTGAACACTGGGGCCACTTGCCATGTCTGCTCCAGCAGAAGCATGTTCACTACTTTTGCACCAGTTACAAATGGTGAAAAGTTGTTCGTGGGAAACTCTGCAACTTCCGAATTGCTTGGTAAAGGCAAGGTGATCCTGAAGATGACATCTGGCAAAGAGCTTACTCTGACTAATGTGCTGTACGTGCCAGAAATTCGCAAGAATCTGATCTCTAGGTCTCTTCTAAGCAAGAATGGGTTCCGCGTGATCTTTGAGGTGGATAAGCTGGTGATTACCAAAATAGGTGTTTATGTTGGGAAAGGCTATATGACTGATGGCCTGTTTAAATTGAATGTAATTGCTGTAACCCCAACTATTATGAGTAATGAGAAAACTCCTTCTGTTTACTTGATTAAGTCTCCCAATCTGTGGCATGGTAGATTAGGTCACGTAAATTACAATGTTTATGTAGACTAAGCAAACTAAATTACTTGCCTAGGTTTCAAATTGATTCAAATCATAAATGTGAAACATGCGTTGAATCTAAGCTTACTAGGTCTTTGTTTCATAGTATTGAAAGGGGTATCGAGCCGTTGGGACTAGTCCACAGTGATGTATGTGACTTGAAATCTATCCAAACACGAGGCAGTAATAAGTATTTCATTACTTTTGTCGACGATAGCACGAGATATTGTTATGTGTACTTGCTTAAAAGCAAAGACGAATCTATCGATAAATTCATTCTTTATAAAAATGAAGTTGAAAATCAACTTAGTAAGAAAATAAAGGTACTATGGAGTGATCGTGGTGGTGAATATGAATCACCGTTTGGTGAATTTTGTGCTAAACATGGAATAATTCACCAAACTACTGCACCTTATTCACGTCAGCAGAACGAAATTACTGAGCATAAGAATAGAACTTTAAAGGAAATGATGAATGATGTGTTGATTAGTTCTGGATTACCACAGAACATGTGGGGAGAAGGTATTCTTTCCGCAAATTACATCTTAAATAAAGTGTTAAGAAAGAATATGGATAAGACTCCGTATAAACTTTGGACAAATTGGACACCTTCATATAAATACTTAGGAATGTGGGGGTGTCTTGCTAAAGTTGCGGTGCCTCCTCCTAAGAAAGTCAAGATTGGACCTAAGACAGTTGATTGTGTGTTCATTGGTTATGCATAAAATAGTAGTGCATATAGGTTCCTTGTGCATTATTCGAATGTACCTGATATTCATCCGAACATGATTATGGAGTCTAGGAATGCACAATTTTTTGAGAATATATTTCCTTGTAAGTCTCCTAACCAGTTGACTCCTATTAAACGGACAATGGAGTCTTTTGCTTCTAGCAGCAGTAAAGATTCAGTTGAAGCAGGTGAGGATGAGGCTAGACGGAGCAAAAGGACCAAAACTTCTAAGACGTTTGACCCTGATTTTCTCACATATTTAATGGAGAATGATCCTCAAAGCTATAAAGAAGCTATATCTTCTCCAGATAGTCATTTGTGGAAAGAAGCCGTCAAAAGTGAAATCGATTCCATTCTACAGAATCATACCTGGGAGTTAGTAAATCTTTCACCTGGCTGTAAGCCTTTAGGCTACAAGTGGTTCTTTAAGAAGAAGATGAAAGCGGACGGCTCCATTGATAAATATAAAGCTCGGCTAGTAATCAAAGGTTATAAGCAAAAGGAAGGCTTAGATTACTTTGATACTTATTCTTCTGTGTCGAGAATAACTTTTATCCGGATGATAATTGCTATTGTGGCCTTGCGAAATCTGAAAATACATCATATGGATGTAAAAACAGCTTTTCTAAATGGAGATTTGAATGAAGAAATCTACATGGAGCAACCAGAGGGGTTTACAGCTCTAGGTCAAGAAAGGAAAGTTTGTAGACTGGTTAAATCGCTATATGGTTTGAAGCAAGCACCGAAGCAATGGCATGAGAAGTTTGATAATACTATACTTTCTAGTGGTTTTAGAATCAATGAGTGCGACATGTGTGTATATGCCAAGGAAACTAATGATGGATATGTCATACTATGTCTATACGTCGACGACATGCTCATTGTCGGTAGCTCTGACAAAATTATCAAAGCCATTAAGAATATGTTAAACTCGAAGTTTGACATGAAAGATATGGGTCTCGCGGATGTCATTTTGGGAGTAAAAATTACTCGAACACCAAATGGACTTGTGTTATCTCAATCTCATTACATTGATAAGATACTAGACAAGTTCAACAAGTCAGTTACCACTGTGGCCAGGACTCCAGCGGATTTGAGTCTCCACTTATCCAAGAACACTGGTGATGGTGTATCACAGTTAGAATATTCTCGGATAATTGGGGGTTTAATGTATTTAATGACTTGTACGAGACCAGATATAGCATACTCAGTTAGCAGATTGAGTTGCTACACGAGTAACCTCAGTGCTGTCCACTGGAAAGCCATTTTTAGGGTGCTACATTATTTAAGGCTCACTCGTGATTTTGGACTGCACTATTCTAGATACCCTGCAGTAATCGAAGGGTATGTTGATGCAAATTGGATATCAGATATGTCAGATACCAAATCTACTAGTGGATATGTCTTCACTCTTGGTGGTGCAGCTGTCTCTTGGAAATCGCCCAAACAAACTTGCATCCCAAGATCTACAATGGAATCAGAGTTCATCTCTTTAGACAAAGTAACTAAAGAAGCAGAGTGGCTTTGCCAGTTTGTTGAGGATATTCCAAGATGGTCAAAGACTGTGCCTGCAATTTGTGTTTATTGCGATAATCAATCAACAATTGGCAGGGCACAGAGCAATATTTATAATGGTAAGTCTCGCCATATTCGAAGACGACACAATACCATTCGACAACTACTCTCACAAAGTATTATCACTCTGGACTACGTGAAGTCAAAGGATAATATTGCGGATCCGCTAACCAAAGAGCTAACTCGAGAGCTAGTTGTAAAAGCATCGAGGGGAATGGGATTGCAGCCTATGACGTTGAAAGGTATCATGGTGGAAACCCAACCTGGCTGAATGGAGATCTCAGGATCTAGGTTCAAAGGGACAACTAAAACATGTATATCTGTGTAAATCACTGAGAATGTTCTCCTTCTGCTCATTCCTATGGTGCTCACAGTGATTGGAAGATACAGGTTAAGCTATGCTTTTAATGACCATTAAGCGTTGTGAAAAACTGAGTTAAGAGGTTACATATGTGAGTGTGAAGTGGGGCCGCTTCTATAAGGATTGGCAAGGCTACATCCTTGAAAAAACACTTGCAGAATCAGGCGACGTGTTCATGGCCAAAACGAACACAATAGTAAGAACTATGCTGTGACTAGAATGGTCCTGTGTGAGATCTATTATCTTGATTTACACAAATGGCGAAACAATTCAAGGCATCAGATCCACTGGTTTGCTAGTAATTCCCGATAGGTTTCACAAGGGAAGGTTCAAAGTTAAATGCTACCTATCCTATGCAGGATTGATTCGTTTTACTCTCTCATTCCTTTTGAGTCTTAGTTTTCATTTTTCATTCATGTGGGGGATTGTTAGAATTGAAGAAAAATATTGAATAGAAGTAATAAAAAATATTGAATAGAAGTCTCTTCATATATTGTAACTCAAGTAACACAAGTCCTTTCATGTTTTTAACTCCTTTATCAATGAATGGTTTAACTCCTTGATTAATGAGCTAGTTTTTCTTCCATTGGTATAAATAGGAGTCTCTTTAGGTTGGAAAATCACAAGTGAAATGCAAAATTCTTCCTCTAAACAACAATCTTCTTTTTCTCACTTTCAAGTTCTTCTTTGTGCTTATAATTTCTTTATGAGATAGAGTATATCACAGCTAGTTCACAGGCGGTTAATGTAGTGCAGCGTGAACCGACAACCTTGTATCCTGGGAATCGAACACCGATCAAAACCTCTTGCACTCCGGTGAGGCGGCGAATTCAATTTAAGAAAACTGTGAATATATAGGCCTTCGATTTGATTTGATTCTCTAATATTTACCTACATTATCTACACATAAATTGTGGTAGTCACGCTCTCTATTTCTCTTCATCTTCCCAAATCTCCGCAGTTTCATCACAGGGCCATGGCTTCTTTCACTGTATCCCGTGTAACCTCGTCTCAGGTAAATTCATCTCATTTCGTTAATCCTTATATTAAATAATATGGGCTTTACATCTTTGCTTTCTTGGGCAGTTGTGCTCTAGCAAGAATGGGATGAACTCACCTTCACAGGAAACGCTCATAAAATGCGTTAGAATCAGCAATTTAGCTCAAAAGGATAATAGGATGAGGGTGTCGTGCATGCAAGTATTCCTGCGGACGATCGCGTGCCTGATATGAGAAAAAGGCAGCTCATGAATTTGCTCCTTTTGGGTGCTATTTCACTTCCCAGTGCTGGCATGTTGCTTCCTTATGCTTCCTTCTTTGTCCCACCTGGGGATTTTCTTTACGCCTTCCTAATTTTTGTGAACAACGGGGGAATAATATATTCTATATGCTCCAAACTTAAATTTAAAGTATTAGCTACAATTTCCATTGCCTGTATTCGAAATGAGTAGCAAAACAGATTATGGGATGATGCATAGAAGAAAATTTTCAGTTGTAGCACTAGAAAGGAAAAATGTATATAGAGAAAATTTATACGTGTTAATAATCTGATGATCGTCTATTTGCGTCGATACAATATTAGTCAATTAAGTTCGCCCATTTGTCTGACTCTTTCTCTTATACTGTCACAATTCACGTGCTCAAGTGTATTTTGACAAGAATGATTGAATTCATTGGACATAAAGCTTTTATAGTCGGAAATCGCTCTTGCCATCTGTGAAGATATTTCTAGTGGATGAAAAACCTCTATTGATGCTGCATTGGGTGGTCTGTGATATAACCCACAAATTTCCATGCTGAGACGAAATGATTAGGTATACATGTCATTCCATGTATTGGGAATGTTTCCATGTGCAAGAAAGACACTTGCAAACAAAAGAGTAATAAAGAGGACACCTTTCATTTCACTCTTTTTCCACCCATACTACTTAGCTTCACAAATTCTGAGTTTGTTTACAGCTTTTCGTTGAGTCAATTCATTCATTCTTGTAAACAGAACATGAGAGTTTATGCCAATTACATGACCAAACTTTAGGTCCAGTAATTGGTAAAAATGCTATTCTTGCCAAATGTGAGGAAAATATGTCGACAAGAAGATCATCTACCAATTTATTCCAATTACTTGAAGTAATCTATTTAGTGGGGATTGTTACTTGTCATTTTGTTTGACCTATAAATCCAATACCACATCACTGCATCTCAGTTGTCGATGTTTTTGGTTAATATCTTTAGCTTCTTATAGGAGTATGAGTAAGATTTATACTGTTAGCTCTGTTCTATATGATGCAAGGACGAAAATTATCATTACTATATTTTTCCACAAACGTTATTCAATAAGTTTTATCGAGTAAAAGATATGGAAATTAAAAGGCATGGAATATTGAAATAAAAATATTGTTTAAAATTATTTCTCTTAATAATTGATTGTGTAGTTATTACACAATCTTTCCTATTAAGTTTATTTCCTTTTATTGTTATTCATAACCCCATAAATAGGGTTATCGTCTTTGTAATATTTACAAGACCATTAATAATACAATTTACATTATTGAATAACGCTGTGTATACAGTCATTGGCCTTGGCTCATGCTGATGTTGATGATGGGGAGGTTGTGTTCGTTCCATGGTTTGAAACAGATTTCAGAACTGGTGAATCTCCATGGTGGGCTTAATTACATTGAATTTGCTTCCTTTTTGTATGAATTTGTCCATCTGTCAAGGAAAACCTTGATTTACAATATATTGACTTGATTCAAAACTGATTGATTGACTGGTCCACGTGATATCAAATTGACGATTTTAGTTTGATGATTTTTACTTACCGTCCTAGTTGGGGTTCTCAAATTTGCGAAGGCACTCAATTGTCAAAAATACTGCACAAATTACAGATTTAAGCGCATTGCAATATTCGGGTCAATGAACTTCAATTTAAGTGCCAATGTAGAATCGAGGTTTTTGGAGTTACACGTCAATCAGCTATCTAATTTTGACATCCACGTTATCAACCAACGTTAAATTGACAGCAGATTGCAGTTAAATTAGAGTTTAGTAATCCACTGAAATCTTTGAATTAAACTGATTTAATATTTGTAACTGTCCGATACCCCGTGACTGCTTACAATTAATAAAGCATAAATGGAAAAAACGACAAACATCCTGCCGAGATTCTCTCTACAACACAGCAACCACCCTACTATGAGATTGAAAATTGATCAATGAGATTTGGGGTTTTGGGGAAATGGTTAATTGCGATTTGTGTTTTGAGAATATAGAGTGGAGATATATGGCAAGGGAGGATAATTCGAGAGAGAAAGGGTTGTGTTTCTGCAATTTTGTTGCTATTTTTTTAGAGATATGAAGATGAAAAGAAAGTTCTTGTTCCTTTTATCATATTGTTATTTTAGATGAAGAAAAAGTCTTTATGCTTTTTCGTCCTTTTCTTACGTTTAATTAGAAGTGGATAATGAACAGATGAAGTTGCTTTTAAGAAATAAGGTATGTACAAGGCACAAGCAATTTTTTATTGTGAAATTGGACAACAAGCGACGAAAAGGGTGTCATGATTAAAACAATAGTCCTCAATTCACATATTCTCACTTGGGAACATTTATGTAATTAGTGCAAATTTGTCTAGGAAATATCTAATTCAAAATTTAGATAACATGTGATACTTATTGATATAAAGATGTGGTTGTGACCTTTTAAAAACATTTACTGATTTACGGTACCTTATCCACTAATGGTTAATATGACAATTTTGGTTCACTCGTGATTGTCGTGTTTAGATTTGCATAAAAGACTTCTGGGACCTTTAGTGCAAAAAAGTCTAAGAAATGTCGAACTTAATTTAAATAACATGGGATACTCATTAATATAAAAATGTGGTGGGAAAATTTTTACATTTGTCTCAATTAGACACATGTATAAATCCCTTACTGTCGTTTCTTAGTATTCACTTTAGCTGCCCTCATCAATTGCCTTGTAAATGCGTGACATAATCAATACCTGTTTGCCTTGGTGAATTCTCCACGACCAACTTGCATGAGTTCAGCACCTTTAAAATGAAGAATCTCAAATGAGAACCTTCAATTAACTTAAATAAAGCCAGATGAACTGTTTTAACCCATAAAAGAATCCAGAAGCATATCCAATCGTCTCAACGAGTCTACTTGTCAAAATCTCTTACAGACCCTCCACTTAAGGAAGTAGTAGCACACATACCGCACGTGCACAACACCTACGTCAACACATTCTTAAACATGAATTATGCTACAATTACACTCATTCTTAAATTGAACGACAACTGACAAAGAGGATAAGTGTTATGATTAAAACAATAGTCCTAAATACATAGATTCTCAATGCGTTGGGACCATTTCCGAAATAAGTGCAAATAAGTCTAGGAAGTATCTTATCTAAAACTTAGATAACATGTGACAAAAAAAAAAAAAAAGGTTGAACCCCAACCTTAAGGGCCCCCACCGACCCTACCCTGGGCCATCGTGGAGGAGGTAAATCACAGGATGTGCCTCCCATGAGTTAAGGTGGAGAGCACATGGATAGGCCAAGGCTATTAACTCATATGGTAACTCCCGCTTGCAACAAAACCAATTCCACTTTGTGGGGAATCGAACTCTGCACACTGCCGCGCTGAGCCCTATCCGTCATCCCCTTTGCCACTGGGAGATATGCCCTGAGGGCACAACATGTGACAATCTTTGACATAAAGATGTGGTTGTGACAATTTAAAAGTTTTTACGGTACCTCATTTGCTAATAGTTAATATGAAAATTTTGGTTCACTCCCAATTGTCGTGTTTAGATTTGGACAAAAGACTTGGAGGATTATTTTTCGCAATTAGTGATGTCAGTTGATTGAAAAATTAAAAAAAACGTCAAAAACATTGACCCGTCATCAACAAATAATCTCTCTCTCTCTCTCTCTCTCACACACACACGACAACTTGATGAGCAATGTATTTTAGAGCATGTTTGGTAGCCATTTTCTTCAAAATGCATTTTTCTCTTCTTCTTTTCAACCACACATTCTTTATTAAAATAATATTACACGTAAATCAAAAAAAATTCTTATTTTTCAACCACACATTTCACATCAATTTACTATTCTCAAATGCATTTTTACATAAAAATATCTATCAAACACCCCCTTAATGCTCAAACAGTTGGTAGACACGAATATGCTGCTTTTGCTAATTACTACATCTTTTGGGCACAGATTTTGCCACATTAAAGGAATTCAACACACACTCTTCACAAATATTTTTCAATAGAAACGGGTTGAAAATATTAAAAGAGATACTGCGCACATGCTCTAAATGAATTGTTTTATATCTAATCTTGTCATTCAAATCGATATTTTCCATGTTCGGGTTCTGTTAGATGGGTATCATCTCATTTGTTTGTTGAAAATAATTAAGAGATTTAATAGAAGTGCACATTAAAAGGAATTCTATTTGTAATGATTTTGGAATCTATTCAAAGTTTATTTGACAAGTTCTAACTGAAGTTCTATTTCGAAGACTTACTGGGAGATGGAATTTGTTGGATTTAAAGATAACAAGATAAGTAAACTTTTAAGCATTATGTTTCATCTACAAATCTACTTTAGGGTTTGAATTGTTCCCTATATATAATTGGCTTTTCTCTACAATTTAATTCTATGGTTAGAAATCTAAAGAGTAAGTAGGGTTTTCAATGCTTATGTTTAATCTCATTACAAGTTAGACAAATTATAAATATAAAATCATTGTATTCTCTCTTCATATTATAATAAAATTTCAATTCTCTGCAAAATTACATTATTTTTGTATTTTTGTGACCAAGTACTTCATATTATGACTATAATCTCTAATTTTCTCCAACAACTTGGTATTGAATTAATCCAGTATCATCTAACTTTTCACAACAAACTGGTATCAAAGCTGTTCTTTTGTAATAAAGTGGTTTTAGATATGGTCCGAATTATATAAAGTGATATAAAAGCTTTTGGTGTTGAAATTCTTGGGAAGATCGAAGTTTTGATCAAGTTAATACCTCAACTTGATCTTTCGTGATGGCAACAATGAAGTCGGATATTCCGTTTTTAGATCGCAATATAAGATTTTCATTGTGACAAGTAAAGATACATGTAGCACTCACTGAGATGGATTGGACGACTCGTTGATATTTGACAAGATGCCCACAACTTGGATTACGGAGGAGAAACAATGGAGGGGTCGAAAAGCCATATCTTAAATACATCTTCATCTTTCAAATGATATTTTTCAAGACGTTTTGATGGAGAAGTAAGCCATTGCATTATGGTTAAAATTGGAACAATTATGCATGATGCAGAGTCTTACTAGCAAATTGCATCTAAAGCAATGTCTATATTTTTATCGTATGATAGAAGGTATATCTCTTAAAGATCACTTTGCTGCTTTTAAAGAAATTGTTGCTGATTTAGAGACCTTGAAAGTCAAATATGATGAAGAAGACTTAAGATTGTTTTTATAGTGTTCATTGCCTGCCTCACACGTCTTTTAAAGACACAATACCATATAGTCGTGATACTCTCACCATCGAAGATGTCTACGATACTCTATATTCAAAGGAGAAGATAAAGCATATTGTTGAGATCCATGGAGATGGCCTTATTCTTGATGGTGGTTGTGCAAGGAGTGAGTTAAGGTCTAACTTCAAAATTTATAGCAAGAATTCGAGACACTTAATTAAGGATTGCTATAAATTGCATAATATAGAAAATTTGGCTGCAACTTTTTAGAAAGAAAAGCAATTAGATACTTCAGGGGAAGCCATTGTTGCAGAAACTTCTCACGGTGATGAGAAACTTTTACTTATGTCTCACTACAACTCCAAACCTGATGAGGCTTAGATTTTGGATACAGTTTGCACTTTTCATATGTTGCCTAATCAGGAATTGTTTTCAACATACGAGGAAGTTACAAAGGTGTTGTGGTAATCGGTAATAACATACCTTGTCGGACAACAGGTATTGGCGGGGTCAGAGTAAAAATATTTGATGGAACAGTTAGAACACTTGATGCAATGAGAAAATGTTGCAGATCTAAAGAGAAATCTTATCTCATTAAATACTCTTGATTTAAAGGAGTACAGGTACAATGTTGAAGATAGAATCATAAAGTTATCGAAGGAGCTCATGTTGAGCTGACGGGGTATAGAAAATTCCATTTATATATCTTGCAAGGTGATACAGAATCTTCAAGTAATTAGCATATTTTAAGAATTCGAGCGGATTTAGAGTTGACTTCTATACCATTGAAGTTTAATTTTGGATATTCTTTTAAGAATACTTCTTAGTTGAGTTTTGAAAATATGGGTAAACCTATCCTGCAGCGTCGACGATGGTACAATTCTGTTACAATGCTTGTTTCAACCTTGTTTGGTAAATATCAATCATGTTTTTTATTTTGTTGCTCGTGATTCAAGCAACTTTGATGTCCAAGGTATTTTTTGAAATTTTTTAAATACACAGTTATTGAGTTTTACCCTAGTTAGGGTAGCAGAAGTAGAGAATACTTCCAGTTGGAATTGTTGATGAAGAAGTTTGTTTGTGTTTTTATTGAAGAGTTCAAGTTTATTCCTTGCAGTGTAATTTGTCCGCAGGTGGAGAATTTTTCTAGGTTTTGTTC